GATTGGCTCAGTCAAGCTGGCACGGAGCAGGCCACCTGGGCTTCCCTTTCCTGAGGCCGCTGACCCAGCCTGGAGGCAGCACAAGTTCTAACATTTCATCCAAGAGGGGAAATAAACCAGTGTCTCCCTGAAAACAGCATCTACCCCCTATTGTTTCATTACAGGATAGTGTCCTCTAAACAGTGGCAGCTTGTTGAGCATTTGGGGCATGGTGGGAGTCTCTGGTGGCCTTCTTAAGCCCCTGCCCACAGCTGCTTTGGATTCCTGTCTGCCACGCTGGGGAAGAAGAGAAAGATCAAGGACAACAGCAGTACAGAAGGAAACACAGGGATAGACAACCTTCTGGGGCCGAGTAGCATTTTAAGTGGAAAACATTCAGATGCCATATACTTGTACAATCATACAAATGCGCCACCCTAGGTAAGGCCTTTCCTCTCAGGGGGTGGCCTCTCATCTATAAAATGAGAGTCTTGATATGCCTGCTCCAAGATCCATTCTAGCTCTGCCCACTATCTGGGAACAAAGGGAAGCACGGTGACTGAAAGTCCTAAGAGCTGCTATTCTGTAAGAATGCAAGCTGTCCTGGGCCCCAGTCCAGTGAAGCACCTTTTCTGTGTGAACCAAACACCAAGTGTGGGGAGAATGCAAGTCTTGAAACAACTCAGCGTTCAATTTTATAACTTATAGTAAATGTGAATTTGAAATAAACTTTCCTTCGCTTGGTTGCATTTGAGAAAGGCATTTTTCTTACCCTGTAGGCACTTCCATTAGAAGATAGCAGCTACATTCCACAGCAAAATTTCTCAAACTTTAATGTGCGTGCAAATCACCTGGGGACCTTTGTAAAAGCAGACCCCAGATCCTAGGTTTGGGATGGGGGCGTGAATGCTGCATTGGTGACAAGGTCCCAGTAACGCTAATGCTCTGATCAGAGGACCACACTGCAAGTAGCAAGGCCCAAGGGCTGTGTTTTCAAACCCAGCTGCATACTGGCATCTCTTGGGGAGCTTTACAAACTAGGAGCCCCACCCACAGAGATTGTGACTGGATGGGCATGAGTGCAGCCGGAGCACCAGGACTCCTTAAAGCCCCCTGGTGAGTCTACAATGCAGAAAACCTCGGTAACACACAGTAGTCCTCTATTTCACCCTCTCTGAAACAGAAGAAAGAGCATCCCTCTACTTCAAAAGCAGAGTTTTTAGAACCTAAAAACGTAGTGTGTAAACAATCTATCCTCTTAGCAAGGATATCAGCTTATTGATAATACCCAGAGGCCCACTTAGACTCTAAGCATGGTTTAGCTTTCACAAATCAGTTGAATTCTAGGCCCTGGTTCAGTTCTACAACAGTTTCTATGGTCTCCTCAAGGTCACACCAGACTGTACTAAATATTTAATCATGCCCTCTGCTGATGACAGGCTTGGGTTATTGATGCCAACTTTGTGTGCAACCAGTACCCTTTCTAACTCAGTCCCCCAGCTGCCACCCTGATTGAAGGAAGGTTTAGAAGACAACAGGCCCCCCTTTAGGCTTTGCACCAAGTGGGTCCCAGGGAGCAACTAGGAAGACACAGAAAGGACCCTTGAGTCACCGTTGTGTTTAAAGCAATTTCCAGAAAAACCAGGCAGACTCTATATTGTAAATACAAAAACAGAGCCAAATAGAAACCAACAGAGATTACTAACATAGATTGTGAATTAATTTACTCTCTGTGAAGATAATAAAAGGTAAGACTCTATGTTCATAGCAACAATAACTTCTCTTCCATATTTTTCTGTGCAGAAATACAGACATTTTAGGACTGTTTTCTTCTTACACATCTATAGAATATTACAATCAAGTATTAGTAAATGAACAATGCCTTATAAGAAGGGTATGCTTCTCCCCATTTGAAGTAGAGCTCCTCCCACTACATTAGTGAAGAACAGGGCCTCTGGTCATGTGACTTTTGTTAACCCTGTGCTTTGCTTACCCGTGTAGTTTGTGGAGTAGTTGTTTGGATCTAAAAACTTCTTAACCAGCTCACAATTAGACAAGATGTGATTTGTGGTGATGACGTTGAGATAGTTCTGAAGACCTTTCTGCCTCTCAGCTATGAATTCACGATCCATGTTACCAATCAATTTTTTTGGAGGAAGAGGTAGGCTTAGGCCTGCAATCTTTAATTAAAAAAAGAAAAATTACACTCATATCATCCCCAAATAAGATACAATACCAGGACATTTCATGAAGTCTGAGACACCATAAATTTTAAGGGGCATCCTAATTTCAGTGATACTATGAAATTATGAAAAAAAAATTCATCTTAGAATTGATAAAATGCTCTATGGTTTTCTTTTTAATCAAACTTACACATTAACTGAACTTCAAGAGTCAAATAATTGTTTCATTATTATTATTAGCAGTTCCATGACCCCACCACCCAGCAACAGCCATATTCAGTCCCTTCAGCTGACCTTTTGGCGTGGGGAATGTTCATATTGCCATCCTGATTTTTCATTTTTAGGCATTACCTATAAATTTACCAACATTGACGACAAGGATGAAGTTCTCTTTCACAATCCTGATCTCACGCTCCATGTCTTACTCCTGAACTTTCCAATATGGTTATAATTTTACTTAGTACAATATTCATGTTTACATTAGGAAAATGATATTCACAACTGAGCCAAAAAGCCACGCTTACTAATCCTGTCGACTGGTAGTCTATTTTTTTTGTTTTGTTTTCTACTCAACTCCAGACTTTCTAAGCTTTTTCTCAACACACTCAGATACAAATATGCATCATCTTCATCTTGAGGAACACCTTCCAGAACCCGCGGATCTGCTCCAAGCACTAGTGGTCCCTACACATGCTGCCAGGCTAGCACCCCAGGACCTCTCCTCACCACCAAGCTGGAGATACTGCCTTTCTCCTGAGGGACCCCATTTCCATATCCATACCTTCCTTTTTCTTAGATAAGCCCGATTTTTGGTGGAGATAACCTCTGTCCAGTTCCTGAAGAGGGGGGCATGGGAGATTTAGTTTTTTGAAACCTTGCCTGTGTAAAATGTGGCTATTCTATCCTCAAACTTGATTGATAGTTGAGTCTTAATGTGGAATTCCAAGTTGGAAGTCCTTGTTCTTCAGAATGTTTAAGAACAACTTCATTCTCTTCTAGTGTCCAGTGCTGATATTAAAGGTTCAAGCAGTTGATTCTTGATTCTGGGTTTTGGGGGTTTTTTCCTCTCTGATAGCTTTTAGGATCCTCTCTTTGACCTCAGTGTGTGAATTCCATATGTGGGTCAATTTTCATCTTCTGCTGAGTCTCCAGAAACTCATCTAGAAACTACTATCTTTATGTTGCCAGGCAGCTGCATCTGGGAATGTCTCTCCCTGAGCACTAGGTGAGACCTCAACCCAGACGGGGGAGGATTCCTGACTCTGATCGAGAAAGAATTCATAAACAGGTCTGAGTGTAGGCAAGGAAGGAAACCTAAGAGTATCAGGGAACGGCAGCAGCCGTGCAGGCAGCAGAGAGTGAGGAAGAGCAGAGGGAGGCAAGGAGAGTTCACTGAGCTCCTGCTCGGCACAGGGCGAATCCCTTGTCGACTCCTGAAGCCAATGTCAGCTGGTGTCCAGGGTCTGCTTGAATGCGCACAGCCTGGGAACTAAGCCCCCACCGCCCCAGGACTTGGGGAGCCACACTGGATGGAGTGAGATTATGTTCTGAGAACTTGCCAAAGCAAAGAAAGGAGATTTTCAGGCAGGCTACTGAAGAGCATGATCGTAGAGCTGCAGTCCTGTCTGGGTCACCTAGATGATGGGAACTTGCAAGCCCAAATCAGAGCCTTTCCTACTACTTGTAGCCCTTCCCTAGTCGTCTGAAGTAGAGCAGAGAGTGAAGACTCCGGCTTACGTCTAAAAAACTGAATGTAGTAACAAAATAACAAAGTAACAAAGATCCTTACCACTGGGAAAAGGGGTCTCTTATTAATCTCCCAATAGGCTTGGAAGCATGCAAACAAATGCTAAATTGAACAGCAAGAAGCTTTATTTAATGAAAGGAGAATGTGGGCAACCTCACAGAGGAGACACACTTAAAGGCTTAGGATTCGTGTCTTTTAAGGATTTCCAGGATGGGGCACAGGGCCAGGGGGCATAGGCTTGACATGTGGCCTCATGATATCTACCTTCTGTGAGAGACCTGTCACCATCTTTAGTCAGTTCTCTAGATATTCTGTTAGATAAATAACACAAGGAATTTATTGATCCTGTTCTTCTCCAAGATAGTGGTTACCCTCAAGCAATGGGAACATATCATTTTAGGACTGCTTGCCCTGCACATAGATAGGGTCAGTAGTTGGTTAATTACCATGAAATATGTTCAGAATCGTACCTCCTAACTCCCTGGCTTTTTTTATTGAAGTATCATTGATAATCTTATGCTGGTTTCAAATATACAACACAATGGTTCAACAGCTACGCATATTATTTAATCCTCACCCCCTCTAGTGCAGTTACTATCTATCAACATAGAAAGATGTTACAGAATCACTGACTATATTCTTCATGCTGTACTACTACCCCTGTGACCAACTCATATTATGATTTTGAGTTTTTGTGCCCCTTTATTCCCTCACCCTCCTCACCCACCCACCCCAACCCTCCCCCATGGTAACCACCAGTCATTTCTCAGTGTCTGAGTCTACTGATACTTTGTTCTTTTTGTTTTGTTTTTCATTCCCACAAATAAATGAGATCATATGGTATTTGTCTTTCTCCACCTGAATTATTTCACTGAGCATAATACCCTCTAGATCCATCCACATTGTTGCAAATGGCAGGATTCCTTTTCTTATTATGGCTGAATAATATTCCATTGTAAATATATAGCACATCTTCTTCATCCATTCATCTTTTGATGGACACTTAGGTTGCTTCCATATCTTTATTGCAGCAATAAATGTAGGGATGCATATATCTTTTCAAATCAGGGACTTTGTTTTCTTCAGGTAAATTCCTAGAAGTGGAATTAACTGGATCAAATACTATTTCTATTTTTAGCTTTTTGAGGAACCTCTATACTGCTTTCCACAGTGGCTGCACCAATTTACATTCCTACCAACAGTGTAGGAGGGTTCCCATTTCTCCACATCCTCACCAACACTTGTTATTTTTTGTCTTTTGGATGGTGGCCATTCTGCCTGGTGTGCGGTGATATTGCACTGTGGTTTTGATTTGCATTTCCCTGATGATTAGCGATGTGGAGCATCTTTTCATGGGCATGTTGGCCATCTGTATTGCTTCTTTGGAGAAATGTCTGTTTGGGTCCTCTGCCCATTTTTTAATAAGGTTATTTGATGATTTTTTTTTTTTTTTGGTGTTGAGTCATATGAGTCCTTTATATATTTTGGATGTTAAACCCTTATTGGATAAATCGTTTATAAGTATATTCTCCCATACTATAGGTTGCCTTTTTCTTCTGCTAATGGTGTCCTTTGCTGTACGAAAGTTTTTTAGTTTGATATACTCTCACTTGTCCATTTTTTATTGTGTTTCCCTTGCCTGATGAGATGTGTCCAGGAAGAAATTGCACATGCTTATGTTCAAGGGATTTTTGCCTATGTTTTCTTCTAACAGTTTTATGGCTTCATGTCTTACATTTAGATCTTTGATCTATTTCGAGTTTATTTTTGCTAACTCCCAGGTCTTTAAAAGGGAATCTTAGCCTTAAGATGGAGTCTCTCCTGTTCTTACTATACTATTTATATCTCAGTATTTTTCATCATAGGCAGGAAAAATCATCATGATGATTGACCCATGTTCGTGCTCTACCTCGCTTAAATTCTTTGCTATTTTCTTCTCACTTAAATTCTTTGGTATTTTCTTGTATTAATCATTATTTCTTCCCTCCAGGCCTGTCGCTTTTTTTCTGGAACTCCTGTTTTTGCAATGCCAGACCTTCTGGACAAGTCCTCTATTCTTTTCTCTCCTATTTTATACCTTTTGAAACCTTTATTTCCCCAACAGAACAAAAATTCTGAGATATTTCCTCTATCTTCCAGCCCTTCTAAAGAGTTTTCATTTCTACTTATTTCTAAGCACTCGTTTCTTTTTCTGTTTTCCCTTCATAGCATCCTGAATGTAATTTTTCATGTCTCCAAGATTATAAAAGATAATTTTTCTGAAGTGCCTGAAGTGCTCTGCATATATTTCACTTCTTCAAAGTTCTTTTCTCCCTGTTTCTTTTAGTCATTAGTTTCATGTTATAAGTGTGTCTTAGGCATCTGGTGATCCTGGAATCCACTCATATTTAAGAGCAGAGCTTCAAAAGCTGACTCAGAAGCTCTGGGTGAGTGGCTGGGGATGTCTGCTGTGGGCCCCACTGCAGCACATGACCACACGCAGCTATTGCATGGGAAGAACCTGTGACCTCAGCGTCTTTAACATCTTTTTCTTAGGCGGGGGGAGATCCCCCAACAAGAATCTTCTGGTCTCCTTCCTGGGGGCTCTAGGTGTATTGGTATCCTGGAACCTGAGAGGAAGAAGGCCTAGGGAGGGGTTGGGAGATGGGGCAGAGCTCAGGTTTACTATGCAAATATTTTCAACTGTGCCTGCATTCCCCAGTCCAATGACTGCTCTATCCTCTCTGGAGAATAAATTTCCAGTTTTCTGCAGGAGGGACAAGGGCAGGCATATGTTGCTCAGATGGGGGAGGTGTGCACATCTACCTACTTTTTTTTTTCTTAAGGTATCATTGATATACACCCTTATATTCACCCATATTACCGAGTCCCCCACATACCCCACTGCAGTCACTGTCCATCAGTGTAGTAAGATGCCAGAGAACATCTGCCTGCTTCTTAAACACACTTTTGACTCCTGATTTCAGCTTGATGCCACAGGAGAGGCAGTACCTTGTGTTGTCAACTCCTAAACCTTTTGGAGGTTGTGTGTACACTGGAACTGCAGGGACCAAGGGCAGGCTGCCCCAGCATGTGCCACTATGACGTGCAGATTTTTTTGAGCTAAAAACCATCAGGGCCCCAAACACTTAGGAAGATACTTTGACCACCCCGCCCCATCCCAGCTGCATAAGAAGAATTTAGATGAAAGAACTGCTCCAAGAAGAGAGCTATCATCATAGACAGATACATTATAATGTAAACTAGGGGT